AACATTTTTTTTTAATGCTCAATATTTGTTGAATTTTTATAAAGTTTGTACCCTATAATATTTCCATTGCTTCAGAGAACCTATTTCCCGAAAACGAAAGTTTTCTTTGAAATCGCTTCACTAGTTCTCGTGCAATAAGCGTTTTCGCGAAGCTCTAAAAATACAACTACAACATTTGAGCATAGCCTCCATATCGAAACGTAAGACGTATTCTACGTCAAAAAACAAGCTGTAAAGCGCTCTTATCTAGGTATGACACTCAGTACGGCAATCATACCAACTACGAGTACTTTTGTATACTTGAAAATAGATAATTGCGTCTCGGTCAAGCTGTTTATAGAACTTTTCTTTCTGTGTGCTACTCAAACCGATCGCCTTGCTTGTTCATACCAAAATTAATTTCGCGGAAACCCAGTGACTTTTCTACGAAACCCTTGGGTTGCCCGGAACCTTTTTTAGGAAGCTCTGCCCTAGTACTCATAGGCAAGGCAGTCCAGTTGACGAAATCATCACTGCGGATAAAGTAGCTTGCACTATCAGATCCCTCCAACCCTACAAATCTCCGGGTCCGGATGGTTTTTTCAAGCCATGCTACAACGAGCAAGCGCCACGGTAACCCCCCAGCTAACGATAATCTATAGGGCAAGTCTCCTCCTAAGCTTTATTCCAAATTGACATTTTTCTGACAGAAGTGACTGTGAATTTAATATTGCTCTCAGCGATGACGAAATTCCCATCTTCACGGACGGCTCGAAAATATATAAATATCGGAGCAGGATCTGGTGTCTTCTCTCAGTAGTTATCTCTGAGAGAGTCCTACAGACTCCCAGATCACTGCAGTGTTTTTCAGGCTGAGATATATGCAATCCATATGTCGGCAAGGTTGGTGGGCATGATTGACTTAGCTCCATCTAAACTTACCTTCGTTGTTGACAATCAGGCGGCTATCAAAGCCTTAGGGTGATCAACGGCTAACTCGATATGCGTTATAGAATGCCGAAGATCCCTACAAGCCCTACAGCAACACATAATCAATCTTTATTGGGTACCGGGACATTGGGTTGTCCCGGGAAATGAGGAAGCGGACGAATGTGCTAGGAAGCGATCTGAGATGGGGCTCGGGGAAGCGATCCAAATCGTAAAACTTCCCCTGCGATTTCTGTCTTCAGAAGTCGAGAGACTGACCAGGGCAGCTACCAACAGTAGGTGGGAAAATCTGCACACCTGCAGGGTATCGCAATCGCTCTGGCCACGGCTCGATGAACGAAGAACAAGGAGTCTGTTAAGGCTTTCAAAGTCAAACTTTAGGCTTCACACCAGTGACAAAAAGTGTAACTTTTGGGGTTTAATTGTACTTTTCACCATTTCCGTCAATGTATTACCTCTCTTTTCCCGCAACCAAACAAAACCAATTTTTTTGTCTACTGCAGTGTGTTTATTGTACAATTCATTGTACAGCTTCAGTTAGTGTAGGCTTAATTTAACGTAACTTATTACTGAGGTTTTTACTTAACAGCGGTCACCCCTCGGCAGGTAATGGCAAACCTCCGAGTGTATTTCTGCCATGAAAAACAGCTCCTTAATAAAAGACAATCGCCGTTCGGAGTCGGCATAAAACTGTAGGTCCCTCCTCTTTGTGTGACAACATCAAGGCGCGCGCCACAAATCGGAGGAGAAGCTCGGCCAACACTAACATATGTGTAAGCGCCAATCCTTTTTTTATTATTATCATTGAGATCTCATCAGCTATCCTATAAGTCATCGCCAGTTTTGTCAGAAAGTCCCGCTAAGTTAAACTAAGTTTCATTAAGCTTAAATTATACATAAATAAATTCCTGAATTATATTTCACATTTTTAAAAGTACACCCCGCGACAAAATGCTACGGTCACCCGGTTTAGGCTATTTATTATATTTTTTCCAAGTTATTTTAATTATTATTATTTTTTTTTAAGTATAGCTCTTTGTTTAACAAAAACTATACAAATAAAACTTTATTTAAAATATTAAGAAAAAATAACATCAAAAACGGTGTTGCGCATTTTCATCCATATAAAATAAAATGCGAACATGCGTTATATGGAAGAAAGTGCGCAACACCGCAAACGAAAAAATTCCAAAAATTTTACTTAAATGTAAACGGATTAAGAATCAAAGTGCTGGAAGAGATTTACTTAAATGTAAACGGATTAAGAATCAGAGTGCTAGAGGAGAGTTGTGCGTTTGGTACAAAAAGTAATTTTTATACCCGAGCGCACTTGTGCACAAGGGTATATTAATTTTGTTCACATAACGGTTGTTTGTAACAGCCAAAACGAATCGAGATAGATATATACAAATGTATACATAAATGATCAGGATGAAAAAAGAAATCGATTAAGCCATGTCTGTCTGTCCGTCCGTCTGTCCGTCTGTCCGTCTGTCCGTCTGTCCGTGTACACGATAACTCGAGCAAAAATTGAGATATCTCAACGAAATTTGGTATGTAGGTTTCCCTTAATCCAAGGTAGGTTGGTATTGAAAATGGGCGAAATCGGACTTTAACCACGCCCACTTCCCATATAACGGTAATTTCCAGAAATACGAAAACTGCGATATTTTAGTAACTACTGAAGATAATTCACTCAAAATTGATATTTACAATAATTTTTAGACGAAAAATAAGAATATTATAAATTTTTGGAAAATGGGCGTAGCCACGCCCACTTATGGTTACATGTGTATATCTTGGTAACCGCTGCACCAATTTCTTCCAAACTTGGCACAGTTGTTGGCCTTGGTACAGCATAAAAAACCGCCGAAACTTTTTAAAATCGGACAATAACCACGCCCACATCCCATATAACGGTAATTTAGAGAAATACAAAATCTTCGATAAATCAGTAAATATTGAAGCTAATTTATTCAAAATTGATGCTTGCAACAATTCTTTACCAAGAAATACGTTTATGGTAAAATTTTGGAAAATGGGCGTGGCACCGCCCACTTATGATCACATATAAGTATATCGGTAACCGTTCTACCAATTTGTACCAAACTCGGTGTGGTTATTATGCTTGCCACATGTAAGCAAAACGTTGAAAATTATTGAAATCGGACTAAAATAACGGCCGATTCTCATATAACGGTAAATTTAAGAAATGCTTGAAACTTCAATATTTCGAAATTGAAGGACGCTAATTTACTCAAAATTGATACACCCCGGCTTACCATCTAGCGGAAGGTTTCGGAAGGGTGAAAAAACATATAATTAATACTTGCGCCGGGTATTTAATGTTCGGCTCCGCCCGAACTTAGACATTCTTACTTGTTGATGTTGAAATTGTACTTAAAATCAGCAAATTGTACTTTTGTACTTTTTGAAATTAATTGTACTGAAAAAAGTACAATTGTTCTTAAAATATCAACACTGCTTCTCACAGGAATCCTAAAGGGACATTGGACCATTGACCATATGGCCGCCATGTTCGGAGCCCCGCATAACGATTTCTGTAGAGTCTGTAGGGATGGAGAGGAGTTAGAATCCATCCAGTACTTCCTTTGTGAGTGTCCAGCATTTCGAGGAACACGCCTGAAGTTCTTGGGGACAATTTCTTCGAGAACCTGGATACGTTGGGAAAGCTCCTCTGGAAGGACTTCTTAGATTCTCCAAAAAATCAAAATGGTTCGAAGACATGTAGGGATAGGCTTGGAGTAACCCCCCATGGGCATCGCAATGGGTCTTCGCGGCCTCCGAGTAAACTCTTCGCAGAGCTGCCCGTTTAACCTAACCTAGTGTCCCTTTGGCACCGCGAGGAACCTGCCAACTAAAATCAAAATCTCGTTTAACGTATTTATTTTCAACTTTAATTGTTTTGTTTTACAACTCAAAGATTAAAAAAAAAATTCCATCTGGGTATGTACCGGATTTTAGAATCATTAGCGTGACAGCAGCCTCATATAATAAGTTTATTGAAATGAAAATGCGCTGCACTTGTAATGCTTCAGATACTTTTTGCATCAGACACATACATATGTAGTATATATGGATGTAAGCACTTATACATATGTACGTATTCCATGTAGTATGCACCAGGTATGTTGCGATTATTTGCATTCGCATTCGTTATGCGAACAATTCGCATCATTTTACACATTCGCATTCGACATTTGCATTCGCATTAAATTGCGAATGTGTACATGGGCAGAGAGGCCACTCTAATATTGTTGAAATGGCTCTAAGTCTGTCTCACCATGGTGCAGACAATAACCGGCTTTTAGCCTCGGGCGCTAAACGGAAAGCAACCCTAATGAGCCTTCAACAAGTACTGGTCAAAGTCTTATGAGCAACCTAGAAATAATTTTAGATTCCACCAGCGAAAGCGAAGGCTCGGATGTAGAATCTGGAGACATTAAGAAGTGTGAAATTAAAGCTCAATTGAGGGTTTATCTTAAAGAAAAACGAGCTCATCTCAGTGAAAAAAAAGCTTAGATAAATGTTTAGAGGACTTTAAACCACAACCAGCTTTTTGTAGCACTTTGAAAAATCATAATATGATTTTTGTGGACCCCTGCAAGCCTCCTTGATATATTTTTACCCGTTTAAAGTTTACGACTTACAACAATACGACACATACGACACCGTTATGGATACCCCAAATATTCTCCTTTTGAACTTTGACTACTAGATTAAAACACTGTATAGGTTAAGCACTCGTTCAATGTTCTAATAATTTACAAAATTTTAAAGTAATGAAAACGATGGCTTAAACTTATAGCTTTTCTAATGTTATTCCTAACATTCGCATTCGCACATTCGCATTCCGAAATTCGCATTCGTGAATGTGAGAAATATGACATTCGAAACATCCCTAGTATGCACATATGCAAATCCAAATTTATTGAAAAGAAAAGCTCAAGTTTATTGCTTTGTTATCTCAAAAGCTTTTTTATATACAATCAAATGCACTTTGTTTCATTTCATCTATTTAAGGGCAATTCAGTCCTTCTACAAAATCCAAACTATAAATAACCTTAGTAATCACAAAAACTGCATACATATGTATACGTAAGTGCATTAATTAACATCAATTTCTGAAAATACATATGGGTGTTTCCACCGGAAGGTCCACCACGACAAAAAAAAATAAAAGTTTTATATCTAACGTATTTATTTGTCTGCTTTTTAAAATATATACTGGCTATGTAAGTAGAATCATGTTTGCATAAAATGGTCTTCCTAGGTGGTGCCAAGGTCGAGATATCTCGAAAAACGGTATTTATGGTCCGATTTGGTTCGAATTTGGCGTATGTGGTTGAAATATAATAAATCATAGATTTCCAATAAATTGACCCTGAATAGGCGCTGAAGTCAAAATATAAAGTATATTCTACATAAAATACATGTTTTATTTGCGTTGAAAATTCATTTAAAAGCAATATTAACAAAAATATAACGATGGAAATTTATGTCACGTCACGCCACGTCACGTCACGTTTCACACTTGGGGTTGTAAAAGAGAATTGAAACAATTTGCATTAATTCAAAAAACTCTAAAAACAACTAGAATTGCTCCAAATCATATCAAAATAAGTTTCATCAAAATAGCTATCCACAATTCGCAGAGTTTTGCGATTTTGCAAGAAAAGAAAAAATCAACTTCCATTTTTTGTCACGTAACGAACCTCTCTTTAAATGCTTCTATTTCAGGACCAACCAGTTCGATTGATTTAATTTTTCGGTTAAATATAGAGCTAATTACGTGCTATACAATGGTCTAAAAAGTTAAAGGAAACAAATGGTATTCCTTTTTTGTATCACATTGAAATCGTACGACTGTCACGTGCGCCACCATGGGAATGCCCATATAGTCAATTTTGTTTTTGCTTTAATTTTTTACGTGCAAATGGTATACCGAATTCGCGAGCCTCTTACCGAAACACACCAGGCAAAGTGTATATACTTGCTTGTAAAGGTCCTTTTATCATAATTTTTAGAGCATGATACACACTAAACCCTCCAAAGATGTTTCTGATGACGCCATAGCGCGTCGAATGATCAAACGTGTAAAAATTTCTACCAATGGAGACTTCATACCTTTAAAATGGAATTGGGCAGAGACCTGGATGACCCTGCCAGTTGGGTTTGAGAAACATTTTCAGCAAATTTATAATTTCGAAGTGAAAGACGATGACGTTTTCATAGCAACATTTCCAAAATGTGGAACAACTTGGATACAGGAAGCCACTTGGCTGCTTCTCAATAACTTGGACTATGAAGAGGATAGTAGAACACATTTGACTAATCGCAGCGTTTATATCGAGTAAGCAAGATGTTATAGTGCATACATACGCATGCACAAATGTATGTTAAAAGGTGTGTGATTGAGATAAATATAATTTTTTTTAATTACGTTTGCATGGAGAATGAGCCTGTTGTATGAAACATTTCATACAGATAGCATCTATTCGGCCAAACAGCTAAAATCGCCGCGTTGTATCAAATCTCATCTGCCGGTCCATTGTTTACCTCGTCAAATATGGCAAAAGAAAGTGAAGGTGCACCTTACGCGGGAAGTTCTGATGCATATTCAAAAACTTGTTTCTCTTTAGTTGGTCTACTGCGCGCGCAACCCGAAGGACGTGGTACTGTCTTATAGTCATTTTCTACGCGGCAAGGGTGCCTACACTGGAAGTATGAATGACTTCATAGATGACTTTTTGAATTCTGAAACAGCATACACACCATACTGGTCTCATGTGTTTCCAATGTGGCAAATGCGTTCGGAGCCTAATGTGTTCTTTACCACTTATGAAGAGATGAAACGCGATTTGCGTGGTGTCCTAACACGGTTAAATAAATTCTTAGAGAAACCAGATTTGACGGAAGTGCAGATGGAAAAACTTTTAAGCCATCTATCGTTCGAGAGCATGCGAGGTAACTAATATATATTAATTTAATTCCAAAGCAGTAAACATTCATTGTCACAGCAAATCAGCAGGTGAATCCTACAAATATAATTAAAAATACTGGATATCGATCAAACATCGACAACAATTTTCAGTAAGACTTCTAATATATATAGCTCATTCCATCTCAAATCACCCAGGCCGGCGGAAAGTGAATTTAAGTCTGCGATAAAACTCGCAGGGATTGTTCCTTGAACAATTTAAGGAGATACGTATTTTTTCTTTTTGCTCACAAATGTGAATTTTTCAAATAATGAATTTTTTTCTTTTTGAGTACGAACGCTTCTTTTTTTCTCTCTTAATAGCAACTTTTGGTGAAATCGTTTATAACTGCCGCAAAAAAGCAAGGATTTTAACGATTTTTTTTTTAAATTGCAGATATTGATCTACTGAATCGATCTAGTGAACTAAACA